ATTAATTTATTATTATTATTATATATAATATTATATATATATATATATAAGAATATATATATATATATATATATATATATATATATATTCTGATCATCATTAAGAAACATAGAAACAGAATTGTATAAAATATAAACAATATAAAAGATTAAAGAATTTTATGAGAACTCAAAATATCAATGTTCCTTCTAACATCGCAGCCATCCCTAACGTACACCGTAACTATCAGCTAGCACTTCTGCGCGGGCACGCCTGTCTATTCTTCTGCTTTTTTTCTTCGTTCTCTCGCCCTTCGCCCTCATCCCCTCGGCTAGCAGTGACCGCAGCATGAGAGTCAAAAGGCAATCGATAGTGGGCGGCCGACACTGACAGCGGCTGCCCTTCTTTCATGCATATGCTGATGTCACCCATACATTTCGCGGGATGTCAGCGGCGGTGGCTATCGCGGTCCATCGGCACACGTCGTGAGATTGAATTTGTTATGTTGATTCGAAAGGAGATCTTTTCGCTTTCTTCGGGTGTGCTAGCCCAAGGATCGATCGTTCGACCAGAGCTTCGGATAAAGTTCCCTTCCTCGAGAAGAGTACTCGGGAAAGCCAAGTATACATATCTCGAAAAATACCGTGAGATAGAGGTCGAATTGCAACAGCAGAGATAACAAAGGAACATTTCAAAGCATTTGATGCTCAGAAAATAATCAGAATCTCATAATTGGAAATTGGAAATTATTCTACTAAAAAAAGGAACGCGATAAAAGACGAGAAAGGAAAAAAAATTTTAGATAATCAAATATGATGAACAGAAGAGTTTCAATGATAATAAAAATAAAAACAAATAAAAAATAACCTGTTTGCAATTGCAATATTTTGATTTACGATCTTTTAGAAAGATATAAATCAAGATCAGAAAATATTCTTAAAAATACAATCAATAATTGTTTAAAACATACGCGTAAAAATAGAATAAAGCAAACGAATTGAGATTCAAATAATAAAATTGGATTCTAATTAATAATAATGCACGCGCGATGCATATTAATAATGATTTAATTATCTCGCTCTTTTAAAGCAAGAAATAGTACACTTCGTGCAAGTAATTATGAAATAACAACGCTGCTCAAACGAACGGTGACGAGCGCGGCGGAAGCGTTGCGCAACGCGTTCGATCCGACGACGAATCGAACGGCAAACGTAAAAAGCCGACGGTCGCTCACAATGGGCCGGCGAAGAAGCATTGTCATTCTTGACTTTCGCGGGCTCCGGAGGACTCCCCGGCCGGACTGTCGCGAAGAACAGGTCCGCGCTGCGCGCGAATACGCGCGGCGAATGGACTCAGCCGTATGAATGTGGCTTTTAATTATGTAGTGAATAGAAGCGCGTCTGCCATACAAGTCACACCGTGAGCCAGAGTTTAATATAACGCTCGTAATAATAGCTTTGTAAACGAATGGGAAAAAAGGATGGAAGCGCGTCTGGAAAATGACGGGAACGTCTGCCAATGCCGCTACCTACTGCAACTACCGCGCTGCGGCTCTCTTTCTCTCTCTTTCTCCCTCTCTCCCCCCTCCCTCTCTTTCTCTCTTGTGCTGCGAAAATGCATAATATAACCCCGCCGTTTCCGCGATGAAAAGCGCCGCTGTTATTTCTGTACTTCCATCCCCGTCAAAGGACCGATTGCACCAATGGTTGCACAGCGCCGCGCGGTATCCGACATGCGGTGCAACCGCGGCCCTTTGAAGCCGGTTAATTATATTTTCTTTCTCTACATTGCAGCTAGAAATTGTGCAGAGTACTCTGGAAGAAGAGCCTTAATTCCCGTTAGCTCGTTTTCTCTGATCCTCTCGAGCAATTGTATCTTTGATTGTAAATACATGCGCAATCTTAAAATGCGAACTAAAAAGCTTGTAATGTGAAAATGAACAACTTGATATAATTAGATCATTTAAATACAAAGAGTAATCTTATTATCTTATTCATCTTATTTTCCTTGTCATATATAACTTGTACGGTTTCTTCTTTCAGAATTCTTTTCATTCTGAAATCTGTAAGACCAGTTAAAATTAACATTAATCATCAAACTTACATGTAAAAATTCGAAATAAATTATGAGAAGCGTCTGAATCGGAAACGGATCTTAATCTCAAATCTTAATATACACATTTGCTACGATAATTTTGAATTTTTTACCGTTTGATCATTCGCAATGAAGGTTTAAAGAGAGCGAACAATAATGTACTGCAAATGAAAAAAATAAATTATGTTGGGACATTAATTGATAGCAATCGACAAATTTTAATTCTTTATTTAACTTAATATAATGTCTCAAATTAAAATTTGCGTAATGACGTAGGATTAGATCTTAGAAGTTTAAAAAATAAACTAACCTTCTCGTTTCCGCGAGAATAAGAGGCACAATGAATTCCCCGAGGGGAGAACGAGAGAATGAGGAATATCGCTGGAATCATCAAGGCGTATCGTCTATCATCGGGCAAACGAGCATAGTCGAGGACAACGGCACAGCATTGCGCCGAACTAATGTTTCATTAAGAGGAACAGCTGCGCCGTTGTCACTTAATTTATTAAGTAACGCGTTAGCCACTTGTTACGCCGCGAAACGGACGCG